AATACCCAAACTAAGCTATATGTTATAGTTAATGAAGATGTTGAATAGAAGTCTAAATGAAATACATTAACTAATAATAAATTTGGCAAAACAAAAAAGCAGCCTGCAAAGAACAGTAAAAAACTGCATAATAGAATACAAAGATTTTGACAACTATAGAACATTGCAACAAGAGTTAACTATAAAGTAAGTAAGTGGTCTTGTAGCAAGACTGAACAGACAAGACAGTTACAGACAGCTAACAAGGCTAAAAATAATACAAAGCTGTCAAAGAGCAAGCTTAATAAAAGATATATAGAAGCTGAAAGAATAGCCAAAAATTAAAACATATTTGAAAAACAACTTAGCATGTCTTATAATATTCAAAGCAAAAAAACTAAAAATAAATATTAGAATGAAAAATGAACTATGAACAATGTTTGGATATAGTACTAAAATACAAGAACTAATAGATGCACAATTGTGAAAAAAAGGAGCAGTTAGGGTAAATAAAACTGGTCTAATACATTTAAACCAACTACTCAACACAAAAGGAAAAAAACTAATTACATGGCAGTAACTAAAAAGCTATTAAGACCAATCAAGTAAAGGGAAGAAAGCAGAATGGTTCAAAGCAATTGAATCAAAAGTGCTTAGCAGCCCAAAAAATAAAGTAGTACAAAGATGCTTTAGAACAGGTGAACAAAACACTCAGACAATGCAAATCAAATGGGAGCATATATCAGAAAATAGAAAAAGAAAAGAATAGATAGTATATAGTATATGAGACTACAGACAACTCAAAAAGTTGGTTAAAAAATAAAAGAAAAAAGTGTTAATTGAACATTGACAGGTGAAGTGCAAAGAGAATGAAATAGCAACTGAGATTAACAGATGTGAAGGATGTATAAGTAAAGAAGAACAGATAGAAAACAGTTGTTAGTAATGGATAAGATTAAATAAAAATATTTATGTAATTTCAGATAGATTAATAAGAAAGAGCAGCAATCAAATTAAGAAAGTGATAGACTAAATAATAGACAAAACTGAAATGAATAGATCAAAAATAATTGAATGCAAGCTAAAAGGTCTTACAATAATAGAAGAACTAGAAATAGAAATTATTAAATAACAAAAATTAGAAGAAAATATTAGCCAAGAAATAATAGAAGTCCTAAAAAGAAACATTATAAAAAACAAAAACAAATATATAATATATACTGATGATGCAACTAATAGGAGAGATAGTAAAAAGCTAATATCTAAAAATAATATAAGTATAGGATAGGTTCAAACAAATAAAATACAAGAATGACTAGAAGAAGAGTTAGTATTTGAACTAGAGAGATAGCAAACATCAATGATAGCAGAGTTAATAGCAATTTGGGTAGCAATTCTAACAATATCTAAAGAGAAGCAAATAGAGATATATACAGATAGTAATGCTGCAATAAGAAACATTGATAGAAGCTTAGAACAAGTAGACAGAAACAAGATTATTAAGAAAAAAATATGATATGGATAATGAAGATTAAAGACCTTGTCAAGATGAAAAACATTCAAATAGATTTAGTTAAAGTTAAAAGTTATAGCAAAAACAAATAGAATGATAGAGCTGATAGTTTAGCAAAGAAAAGAACAATAAGTAGGAAAATAGTACAGGCTGAAAAGTTAGTTGTAAAGAGATAAAGTACTGTCTAGAATAGGAAAATAGAAGAACTGATATACTAGCAAGACTGCTTTGTAAATTAGTAACAAATGCAGGACTAAGAGCAAAGTAGAAAGAAACAAGAGCAGTTAAAAGTTTAGAGCCAGACACAGAAATTACAATTTATAACTGAACTTATTTTGAAAAAGGCTAAAGACATCAAAAAAAATTTATTATACAACAAGAAGAAGCAGCTTCAAAAGAAGTGCATTTATTAAATGCATAATAGATAAACTTCTAATCTTAAAAGAACTCAACAGAAAAAGACCAGATATATACACAACAGTAAAATGCTAAGTGTGTTAAGATAAAGTAAACAAGATGCAAGCATACTTGGCAGCATGCAAAGGGCAAAGAAATCTCTTAAAGAGAATCCAAGAAGTAACTATTGCAACAGTATGAAAGAAGTTAAAAGAAGAAGAAAAGATTCAGATTCTCTCATATATGTTATATATAGCACTCTTTGAAAAAACAGAGGCAAAGAAAGTTAAAATAAGAGAAGTACTAATAAAAAATCTAATCCTAAAAGAAATACAAGACAAACTAGCAGAACTATTAAACATGAGATCAAGACAGCAGTTTGCAAATACAGTAGCAATAACAGTCTAGGACATATTCTATGAACAAATATAAAGAATATGTCGTAAAAAAATTATTGAATAGAAGAAAAAAATTGAAATAACAGATAAAATTAAAAGAAAAAAAGGTGGAAAGCTGAAGAAATCAAGAAAATGAGGAATGGCAAATTAGGAAAAAAAAAAAAAATAAAAAAAAAAAAAGCAAATTGAAAAGAAAGTAATAAAGACAATGTAGGAGCTTGTTATAGAAAGGAGAAGACCTTTCCATTATGAACTTTAAGTAGTCAGATGAGCAGCTTACTTCTGTTTGAAATAATGTGGCAAGTTGCACTTAGGTATCATTAAGATGGCTGGATGATGCTAGACTTAGATATTAAAGATATTTATGTAGTTACAAATATAATTCTAAAAACCTAATAAAGTACTAGCATGACTGCTTATATAAAAAAAATATATATATATATGTTGTACCTCAGATTACTGCATGTGTCAGGTAATAGCTGATGCACCTCAGATCTTGATTGTTAGGTGACGTGCCTTGAGTAATAAATTGATAACTAATGCATGTCAACTGTCACTTAATGCAAAAACTATTTTGGTCTTATTTCAGTGTTTTATTATAGTTTTGCAGCTTCAAGTTTTTGAAATATAATCATATTGGTAATGCTTACAAATAAGAATTTTTTTATTTTATTTTGCATTTGCACAAGTTAATACTAATACTGATTTATATAATGTGAAAACTTGCAATTACAAATTATAACTAAAGATATTTTTTGAATAGCAATTTTATTTGAATATGTTACATAGTAATTGCTATTACCTTTTTTTTTATTTAATTATTTTACTGTATCAATTTACATTTATATGTTATACATCATTTCTTAATTTACATCAATTATTAATTGATGCCTTTTATTTTTTAATTTTTACCAATTGAGAAATAACTCAGGTCAATTCTTTGTACAGATCATATTATAAATAATGATAGCTTATTAATGGTGCCAATAATGATAAATAAATAAATTATGAAAAATAATAAATTATGAAAGGGTATTTATTTTTACACTCTGGATTACCTCTTCGATATCTCAAAATTTTACTAGAATAACCCTGTCTTATAACATAAATAAAAATGTTCTTTGCACAATTTTATGCTAGCCCAACTCTAATTCTAATCCTAATTCTAACTTTAAGTAAATAGTTGAGCTTATTTTGCTATAGAGTGCACCAAATCTAATTTTTTATTATGAAAAATATTCTTTTATCATTATTTATTTATTTATTTTCTCTTTCTACTAATAAATCCACAAAGTTCCTCTTTTCTGACCTGTGAGACATTTAACCGAATATTGAAAACATACATGAACAAAGGAAAAACAAAGTTTAATGGATAGAGAGCATTACAATGAATGTCTTAAGATATTAAAAAATCCACCCAAGCAAAATATTATACATCCAATTCATAATATTCAGGAAAGTCAAACTTATTATATTTAATATCCAAGTCATGTAAATTGTACTATGCAAGAACACCCAACTCAAGAACACCTAACACAAGAATGCTCAACTTAGGAATACCTAAGAATGCTTAACTTATATATTTCAGAAGTAAGCAAATAAAAAAAATTTTAAATTTCAATTAAAATTTTACTGAAACTAACACAATATGGTGTTCCTCTAGAGAAGGTTGAAAAAAAAAATTTTACTGATACAATTTGAATTGAAGTAATAGTGCAAATAATAATAATTCAAGTCAAAAAACTTATTCAAATTCTTGCAGTTGCCGAAAAACGAATTGCAGTCAGGATTGTAAATGGTAAGTTACTATCAGTAAATTATCAAGTAAATTACTGTAAGTTACCTAAACCTCTAAATAAGTTATCAGTTTACTATAAATTTATGATTAATTTTAGTTAGCATTAAGACTCCAATATTACATATAAAAAACAAACAAGTTAATTTATAACTATAGATTGATGCAAAATAAATACACATATATATGTTATGCTTCAGATCGATTCTTGCCTTAGGTGATAACTGAGGCATCTTTGGTGTTGATTGTTTGGCTAACATTAACTGATCGACATCAATTGGCCTAAACTATAGTCTAACTCTTACCCTAACACTAACTCTAATTTAGGCTAATCAACACCTGAGACAAGAATCGATCAGAGGCACAACATATATATATGTTTTTTATGCTATATATTTATACTTTGTATAACTCTATTTGTTGTTTGTATATATGCACATATGATACAGCAATAAAGTAAATTCCAAATAAACTCATAAGTGCAATTAATATTATTTTTAATATGCAAGCAATTTTTTTAGAAATAATAAAATTTATCCATCACCTCTAAGCTACAGTATTTTTGCATACATTGATTATAAATTAATAATTAGCAAGTATAATAACATATAATAAGTGCAATTGAAAGATATATAATAAATTGTAGAAGTATTCATATCTATAATTTGTTTATATAATAGAATCTGTTTCTATTAACAAAATATGATTCGTTTGAAATATAATAATTGTTTTGTATTCTTAAAATAAATAAACTATCTTTGAGATTATATCAATATAAAAAATATAATTATAAATAATTCAAAGCAATACTATTTTTTAATACTATTTTAAGCAGTTTTTTGATTTAAATTTATTAGTTTAATTTTAGTCTCTAATATGCAAATGATTCACTTCATATTTTTTAAATTTGCAAGCAATTCTAGTATGTTAATTTCATAATAAATAACTCAAATATTTTAACAAAGTCAAGCTAAAATAGCATATACTTACATATTACATTTCATCAAATTCTAATTCATCATTATTCATAACTTCACTGTTTCTAATATATTATCAAAAAATAAGAAAGCTGATTTATTTTCTTCAAATAAATCATTATAATTATTATTAATAGTTGTCATAGTTGTATTTAAGTCTGTATTTGAAGTAGTTGAATTAATGCTTGATTCTGTATTTTGAATAGTTAAGTTATTATTTTTTGATTCAGCTTTTTTTTCTTGTTCATTTAGTTGTTTAAGAATTTTCATATTTCAATAAAAATAAACACATTTTTCTACCTTGGTATCTTCTAATCGATTACATAATTTGTTATGAATGAATCCAAAAGTAGACCAATTACGTTTACTGGCTGCTGAAGTTAATGGAATAGATAAAACTCTATGTACAATGCTACTTAATATAGGGTATTAGCATCCAACTAGTATCCACCAGTTAATTGGTTTTATTGTTATATTTTTCTATAAATGATTACTTGAAAATCCATCTAATTTTTCTAAATATTCTGCATACTTATTTAAAACTTGTTCATGCTTATCTTCAGGAGTTAATCATAAAATTTCACATTCAATAACTTTATCCCACTTATCAACATCTAAAATTTTTTCACAATAACATAAATCAAGTTGATATGCTAAAATAATCACTGAATTATATAAAAATTTATCCCATCTATATTTTCCAAATTCATATACTTGATTTTTAAATTCTTGTAAAATATTAATATTTTTAATTACTGCTTGATCTAACCTTTTTAACTTCATATATGCTGTTGAAATTATTGTTTGATCTGATTGAAGCTTATTAATAAATATAACAAATGGTTTAAGAAAATTATATATAATTTTTATATCTTTCCAGAATTTAGTATCAATGATATAAAGCTGAATTTCTGAAAATATATTAAATTCATCTTTATAAAGAAGATTTTGAATCACTGCTTTTGTTTTAATTAAATTATATAAACAATAATAGGCAGATCCCTACTGAGTTTTAACTAGTAACAATAATGCTATATGTGCATTATACTTTTCTTTTTGTAATCAACATAATGCTAAAAGTAAGACTTGATGTGAACGAAAATAGTTAATAATCTTTTTGGATTTTTGTAATAGCTCACTTGGCCACTTTAATTCAAGTATATCTTTAAGCCATAAATTAACTCCATGTGCCCAACAATCAAGAAAATCTATAATTTAAAAATATTAATAATTAAATTATTAAATAGCCAATAAACTAAAGTAATATTATATTTACTTTTTGTGAATATTTTTTTTCAAGTATTGTTCATGCACCTTTCATATTTGACGCATTATCAGTTACAATTGCAACTACTTTTTGTATACCAATATTTTGAATTATTTCATTAATGCTAGTTGCAATATTTTGAGCTGTATGTCAACTTTCATATGTTGGTACAGATTTATAAAAAATTGAATTTGGAACTATAACCATATAATTAATAATACTTGTATGATTTATATTTGACCATTCATTAGTAGTTATAGAAACATACTGCTAATTTTCTAATATTTTATTTATATCAGAGCGTGTTGTATTATACTCAGATTCTAAAATTAAATTTGATAACTCATATTGTGAAGGAATCTTGAAAGAAGAAATAGCTTTATTGATAAACTTGCAAAAGTCTTCATTTTCTATAATATTAAAAGCTATTTCTGTTGAATAAAATGCATGTGCTAATAATTTTTCAAGCTCTTCTTGATCTGAATTACTAATTTTATAAGTAAAATTATCTAATGTAGTTTGAATATTTTTTTTATAAATTGTATTTGTTGAACTTGCAGTTATTTCTTGTTCATTAAGATATGCCTGATATTTTGTACATGTTTCTAAATGATTTTGTTGTCATGTGGCATTTTTACTATATATTTTTTTACAGTATTTGCACTGATATTGTTCAGTATTACTTTTAGAATCATTGATTAATGAATATTCATTCTAAAAATTACTACTTTTTCATGGCATTGTGATAGTATCAAATTATAACCAAAATTTTATTGGAATAAAAATGCTTTTAAATAACATTAAATATTTATACAAGATTAATAATTACTTGTACATATTTATATATAAAAAAATAATTATAATATTTATTTTTATTTAATTGATTTGTATATAATTTTTTTAAGAAGTTTATTCATAGCAATAAGTTAATTAAAAGTAAATATTTTATTTAATCAAAATATAGCATAGTAAGATTAAAAAATTAATATGAAAAATTTATTGTATGTAACATAGGTGTTATTAATTAATTATCTTATTAATATTTGACATAGTTTATTATACTGAATAAGTTGTTACAAATACCCATGTTACAATTAGTTTTTTGTACATTTTTTTAATCTTATGAATTTGTATTACACTTAATAATTATTATTGACTTTCTAAATTTGCGATCAAGAAATCTAATTAGATTTTAATTATTACTATATTTAGAATGTAATTGTATTTAATTCTAAAATTACTACATCGAATTATCTTGTTACTAAACTAGTGTTAGTAACAAACCTGTACCTTCCCAGTCTCAAAGAATTGCCTAAAATGAAAAAACTGTAGAACTCCAAATTGATGCTGCATGAGATAGTGACCATAATCGCTAAGCCTTCAGAACAATTACTGTTAATAGTCCTAAAATGATAAAGCAATCTGTATTAATCAAATTGACAAAAGTAAAGGCTAGAATGAGACAATGAGTTAATATTGTTTTGTTGGGTAAAGCATATGACTATGTAGATATGTCTTCAATCAATTGAATAAGCTGTAAGAGTAAGAATGTTAATTGAAAGATGAAAAGAAAACATTGAATGAGCAAAACATGAAGGCTATGAAAAAGTAGAGATAAAGAATTAAATCAAAAAGGAATATCGATTTGGTATTTATGAGAAAAATAGTATGAAAAAGTATAAAAAAACATTTGAAAAATCTCTTAGAGTAATGTCATAAATAAACTATAGAATTACTTCTTGTAAAATTGTGCTCTTATTGGCCTAAAAATTGTAAATAAACAAAATATAAATAAGAAATTCTTTAATTTCTTAAAAAAAATAATAAAATACCTAACTAAATAATAAATGTTCTTTAAAATCCTCATACTTATCTTGTAATGCTTCTTATTATTTGGCTTGACTTTGTGCCAAATTATTCCATCTCTAGAACATTAAGAAATGTTATGCCACATATCTGATTCTCAAGCAACAATTCATCCCTTTCCTTTGTTCTTGTGTATGAGTTATCTGGTCAATCTACCAGTAACACTAATTATATTACATAGATGCAAATATTACTGTATTGTTGTTTAATATTAGATTTTTTTTTAATTTAAAGAAAATATATATATATATATACTGATAATAATATTAATAATATATATCTGATACTAATTGTTTAATGAAATTTAACTTTATTACTATAGTGCACTGACCAAAGTACTCCTTTTTTAATATTCTCTCTTGCAAAATACTTCAAAACCTTTATTAATTAAATATAGATTTTTAGACTGCTTACTGTAAGTACATATATTTAAAATTTTTTTTGTAATACTAACCTACTGTTGTATAATATATTTGAGTTTTTTGTTAATTTTTTTTTGTTGGGTATTTTGTATTAGACTCTGGGTCTTTTAGTCAGTACATTATAGTATTTTTAACCAATTAAAATTTTTTATATATCACATGACATATTTTAACCAATTAAAAATTTTTATTTTTCAAGGTAACTTATCTAGTAATTTACCAATATTTTGGGTAACTTATTAAAAATTTTATAAATTACAGTAATTTACAACTTTGTATATCACATGACATATTTTAACTAATTAAAAATTTTTATTTTTCAAGGTAACTTACCTGGTAATTTACTAATATTTTGGGTAACTTACCAAAAATTTTATAAATTATGGTAATTTTACAACCCTAATTGCAGTACTAAATCTTGTTCTTGTAGAAAAGAAAATTCATTATACTCAAGACAAACATTTTACTATAGTAAATTTTAATATATCTTGTATAAATTTAAATATTTTCAGTTAAATATAATACATATAACTATTTCTGGCTGTTTTTTTTTAATTTGCAAATTTTATACTGATTGAAAAATGGCATATATCATTTTTCAATTGAAAAATGATATGTGCTGATTAATAATTAACAGAATTTAAAAATAATGCATAATACATATATCCGAATTATTTCCCCTTTGCATCTGTTACATCTAACTAATCAATATTTAATAAGGCATGTATATATAATAGTAAGAATTTACATTTTATTCTGACATGAACATCCTCCATAACACCTACTAGTGCACTTACTATCATTTTTTTTACAACATCTGTTGTTATTGCATTCGCCTTTACAATTACAAATTAAACTTGATGTTGCTTCTGCACTTTGGAGTTGCTTCTCTAACAAAGATGTTGATAGGTGTGATAATATCAAGTTCAGGAAATTCAGAGGTATTCAAAGGATCAAGTTTACTAACAAAAAAACAAACATCAATTATACCAAACTTTGAGCCTAATCAGTATTTATCAGCCATTGGTTTTCTATAATTTTGCATGACAGAGATGGACAATTTACATCAAACCTATCAATTTTAGGAATAGATATTCTTACTAAATCTCCAATTTCATATGACACTGGCTATTTCTTTTCTTTTGACATGTAATTCACCATTTTCTCTGTATAATCCTCAAAATTTTAACATGCAGATTGTCATAATATTTAATGTCCAGTATTTATAGTATCCGTAATATCAACAAGTGAAGGATTTTCATTATCTTTTATTTATAATATGCATATTTATTAATATAAGTTAATTATATACAATTTTAGATAATGATAATTAATAAAAAAATATCTTACTTTTATGGTTTTCTTGATCTACAATATCATCAAAATTATTTATAGCTTCTGTACAATCAATACTTTGTATCTCAATTGTATTAGGAATGTCTTTCTCATTTTGAATGTTTTTGAAAAATAATTCTTCTACTTATGTATAATTTTCTTTAGGTTTGTCACCATATACTAACTCATATAGAGTTTTTTTATGAGAACAACAGTAACTGTTGTTCATAGAAGATATAACAAAATGGAGCCCA